CTGTGAATCTGGGTTTTGTTTTCTTGGTGTGGTTGGTAGACAAAACCGTTTTTCGTCTGACAGAAGGAACTCCTGTGTCACCGTTTCTCTAATTGGAGTTTTCTTACTTACGGGAGACATAACACTTCCGTTCATGTTTAGTGTAGTGAGTTTATAATAACTACATTGCCTTTGTCAGTAAGCATGACTTACTTTGTCAACATCAATTTGGTTTCCGGGCCAAACCTTCCACATTTATGCCTATTGTCAATCTCGCTCAAGACACCTCTGATGCATTTGATAAAGGTAGATTTATTGCAGGAGTTTTCCTAGACTTGTCTAAGGCGTTTGACACTTTGGATCATTCAATTCTCCTTAACAAACTTAATTTGTATGGTATACGTGGTACTCCACTGAGCCTATTCAAAAGTTATCTTAGTAATAGACAACAATATGTTCGCTTCTGTGATACGGATTCCCCCTTTTGGACAATCAAAACCGGTGTTCCACTAGGCTCAATCCTTGGACCGCTTTTATTCTTTATTGATATTAATTATTTGAATAATCTGGAAGTGAATGACTTAAATATTTCACTTTTAGCAGATGATACAAGTGTATTTATTACAAATTCTGATCTTGAGACGACCGTCTCAACAACAAACAAAGTTCTTAGTAATTTGTCAGCCTGGTTTGCTTCAAATAGACTTTCTCTGAACATTAAAAAATACCAATTTTATTTTGTTTTGTCCAAGACAGAAAAACGTGATCACAAAACTAAACAAGATACTTCGTATTCAAAAACGTGCACTAAGATATACAACAGGGTTGAAATATAGTGACTCAGTGCAGGATTGCTTTAGGAAGTATAATGTGCTCGAAGTATCCAACATCAACCACATGCAAATTGCGGTATTTAGGTATAAATACCACAAAGGCAACCTTCCTGTTATTTTAAACAATTTCTTTTCAATTAACAACCACACATTATTATAGGTCCTCGAAACATAAATACACTCCAGTTAAATGTAAAACCACAGCTCTCCAACACAGCATTCGCTATTAAGGCTGCAAACTCTGGAACGGGTTGCAATCTTTCATTTCGGAAGGGAAGTCTTTAACTGTTTTCAAATCAATGAAAAGAAACTATTTGCAAGGAAATTGATTTTGTTTATTTTGTTTATTACTACTTTACTACTCTCACAGTGTTTACATTTCACATTGTTTGATATACATACATTCTTGTTTTTATTAAGTTAATGGAACATCTTAGGTTGGGCTTTCGTGGTTGGTGGTAACAGCAACACTTAGGATTCTCTCCCGGGGGAGTGGGTAAAAGGGAGTGTTTTATAAGTCCCTGGACTTCTTACAACTTCCTCATAACTTCTTTGCTTTCCATTTATCTTTGTTATTTGTCTTTGTCAATCTTGTTTGTTTTGTTTATCTACGTTTGATTTACGTACTGTTTTTGTGTCCATAATGAAGTTATGAAATACAACTAGATTGAAAGCGAATGGGGGAGGCGAATTGGGGACCGCTCATAATTCCAATTCCTCATAGGTCCGACGCCTCATAAGTTCGACATTACGGACCTATGAGGCGTCTGACTTATGAGGCGTCTGACTTATGAGGCGTCTGACTTATGAGGCGTCTGACTTATGAGGCGTCGGACTTATGAGGCGTCGGACTTGTGAGGAATACATTCCGCCTCATAGGTCCAAAGCCCCTTAGCTCCGAAGCCTCATAAGTCCGAAACAGCGTTTGTCCATTGTCGGTCTTACGAGGCGTCGGAATTATGAGACTGAATTTACGTCTCATAAATATCGGACTTATTGTCTTCTTCAGCCCTACTGCGTATGCTACTGGAGGGTTACAGGCGATCATCCGCACAGTAATGGTAAAGACTGAATGTACGACTGTGGAACATTAACATTCAGAGTGGGGTGTAAACGCTAAGAAGGGACTTTTCTTTTTAATGGTGGAGTTACTTTATTACTCACGTACTACATGAACCTGCTACGTTTTGGCAGTTTTGACAAATAGACCAAACAAGGTCACATATCAAATTTACGTTCACGCCTTTTATTTAAATGATGTTAATAAACATTTGACGGACATAATTTTTCGATAAGGGTGTTGTTTAAATGTGGACGATCATGGCCACTCTCGGCCAATAGATGGCACTTTTCATGGCAGCACAAATGCCAAGTCCTTGTAAAAAAGGCACTCGTTGCAAAATGGAGTGAAGGGGTAAATAACTCCCAACAACCACCCCGTGGTTACGACACACACAGCCAAGCAGATCCCTCACACTGTTTGCTACCATATGCTGTAACAAGATGAATCGCTGGTATTTCTGTCGAAACGCCATGCCATAATTAATTTCATGGGTTACAAATACTCTACATAACATCTGCTTAATTACAAATAAAGCAGCTCCCAAAATAATTCTGCTTCCACTCAATACCCGGTCCGATTTACCCGATTCATTTTTTACGGCCCAATCCGAACTTTTATAACCTGCAAGAAGAATACATGTGTAAAATAACGCATTTATCTTGGTTGCTTTTGTCTAAACTTACATACTTCTTAACAATTGCGTACTCGTGGTTGATAGATGATGCACTTGGCAGTCTACGCACGCCGATACTGCGTGACACGGACCGTGTTTGCCACTTTCACTTCGTGACTTACATTGTGCGTAGTGATGTGTAGAACTTAAATTCCCCATTATGTTTCGAGCTTGTGTTTTATCAGCTAAATACATTTTCCATTAATCAAGGCAAGTCTGTATCAATAAGGGGGCATGTATCAATAGCTTTGTAAATTTGAATGGAAACAATTCAAGCTAAAAAAGGCATGTAGTTTTAAAGGGAGAAGGCTAACACCTTGACTCTTGAATGACCATCAACAAAATTGCAAAAAAATGTCCGATTTACCGACCTTAGTTTTTTGAAACGGCATTTTTTTTCGGAAGCAAAATTATTTTGGGGCTAATATAATGATGTCAAATATCAACCACAGTAAAGATTAGTTATGTTTACACATTTTATAGCAAAAAAGCACACCGCACCTACTGAAATTCAAAAAGATAGTGTCAATGCTGTTACCGAGGCAAGATAAGGAAGGGCGGAATTTGTTCACGGAAAAGTGAACCACTCAAATTGTTTCGATAGAAATACGGTTTCAGTCGGTCATGATTTCCAATCATATTTGTTCTTGACTAACTGAGGCTTTTGGTCAAGTATACATAGTGATATATGTCAATGGTACATAACAATTAAACATTAGATATCATTTTTTTACCAAATATTTCCTCACCATTAACAAATTATTTCGTCACGTGTGAAAGTGCATACCATTGAGTTTTACATAAGTGACCTACTAAGGCAAAATGAGGAATGTCCCCCAAAATCTTGTTTCGAGTAATCGACGCCTGAAGTCGGATATGCTACAAAAATCATCACAAAATCGATATTGAGTGTTTTATATATTTGAGTAGCTAAGGCATCGAAGATTTACACTATGCATTTTTTAGGTGGGTAAAAATAAGAACGTAGGCGGCTCCATGCGTGTCTTTGTTTTTCAAAGCCATTTTTCTCGAAATGAGGGTAGCGAAATTTGGCAGGACAGTGTTGAAGTTACTGCATCATACCTTTGGAATTAATTAAGCTGCAGAAATACATTTGGTTTCATTGGAAAGCCTACGACTTTTGCCTTCACATGATGCGCATAACGTGAAAGTCAAAGGTGGGGGTTATTCCTCATTATGCTATGACAGGTCACATTGTAATCACAAGTTGTTCCTTTGTTGCGGTTTAGGTTAATTCTTCCTGACTGTGATCATGTTTTATTTCAACATATAAGGACAAACTAATTCCACTACGTTATCAGTTCCACTGAACTTATCCGTTTTACCAAAAAAACAATTAAATTTTTTTAATAAACAATTATTTTATATTTAGCTCGAAAGCACAGCTTTGAAAAAGTAAGGCTACAAATACGCACACATTTTATCTCTAAAATAATAATCACAAAAATGTAATTTTACTATAAAATTCACTTCCATTCTGTCAGGTATGAGATATTTTGCTATTTTAATAAGCAACAAACAGGAACTGACTAGTTTCATAGATCAGTTTCCCTCGGTACTTTATTTGAACATTTGTGAAAGTGTCAGCTTTGAAGCTTTGCTAATGTTGCTAGCATTGTGACTCTGGGGTGATTATTGGCTTCATGGAATACAATGGTTTATGTCTTTTGACTAGCGGTCCTTGAAAAAAAAAACACTGACAAATTCGAAAACCCCCAACATAGGGCCTATCAGTTCAGTCAGTACAGCACTGGCAATCCAGAGGTTGGAGGTGGAAACCACGCTTTGAAAAGATTTTTTTTTGGTCAGCTTGATATCATCAATTTCAGAGAGTTATTCGAAACTGCATTCAATGAAAAAGCCGGTTATTTCTCTCTTAAAAAGGATTAATTGAAGTTAGAAAAACACATTTCGGACATTATTGTGCATGTTAAAGCAAAATAGTTTTTAATTACAAAATGAATGGAGCAAATGATGATATCGTCACATTTTTTTAACGGGCACTAGATAGAGAGAATAAAACTTGCAAGTGTTTTAACTATCTACAACAACATCGTCCCAATATATACAAAAACAAACGCCACTCTTTGTTGGTTACAAGGAATATGCTTTAGCACACGCCGGACTATATTACTTAACATAGGTTCTGCATTTTTTGTTATAAGACGAATTCGATATGTGAATGCAGACATTTGGCAAACGAATTCAAATCTTGATTTAACGAAAATATCATTACGTAGTCCTTAAAAGGGTTGACCAAACTTTGAAAGTAGTAATAAATGACTAAATTGATTTTACGGAAAGCGTCTGAAATTATTCTGGGACTAGTTTGAATATAAGAATTGATGCTTTGGAATCAAAACGTTTCAAAAACCTACAACTGACTGCTCTGTTCAGATCGCAGTAATTGCTATTAATTGCTATTACCGATTTAATCAAGAGGACATCCCAGCAACTCCAATCGTAGAGCAACGTTTGAATCCCATGCAGTAGGCTCAATGCGCACTTCCGTCGCCAACACACTTTCATTGAACAGGTTGGTGACTGGAGTGCCGGGAACAGTGCTTCCGGTGAACACCTGAAACGACAATCAAATGCAATAGATGGAGTGAACATATACTGCAAGGTAAAAATTTGGCCGAAGACCGTATATGAAATGAAAACGCCCAAACCCCCCCCCCCCCCCAAAACACAACGATTTAAACGGGTTCTTGAAGTTTTCTTTAGGCTAGATCGGACTGAGGCCGATTATTTCGGCGGAGTACAGTATATCGTTTTTGAGCATCGAAACTGCACAGTTCAGCAACAACTTCTTTCCGACAAAAAAAAACAAAAACAGAGTGTGTCTCCTTGTTAAAAATCAGACCTGGAACCAAAATGTCTGAATGGGAAGTGCTGACCATCAATCAACAAACGAAATATTCTCTGTCCCCGTATAATAGTCTTGTTCGAACAAATGTGGGAAATACACTTATATTTTGACATGTGTGAGTGCTGCTACAGTGCTGAACACGACTGTTCCTAGGACAGTGTTAAATATATAACATCTACTGGCATGTCGATATGCGAAACAAAATACGTTCATGTCGAATTGATAGAAACCAATGGCTCGAATAAGTGGATACCATATATTGCTCCGGGACGTTTGAGAAGCAGAATACTGTTAAATATAGCTGCCCTCTGCGGACGCTTTCCTTTACCTTTTTGTTTCCGTTTCCATCAGTCAGGTATTCATATGCAGATGGTGGCTGGTTCTGATAAGCCACCATGAAATGAGTCACAAACCCAACATAGTAGCCTTGTGTGACAACACCGGACACCACAGTGCTCTGCACGAGGTCCACCTTGATCCAGGACCCCTCAGGGCTGTAAACACAGAGTGAAAAGCGATGGGAAACCAGTAAATAATTAAACAAACTGCTTTTGGAGTGGAGCACCCAATACCTAGCAAGTGCAACATTTACATCTGTACCCCTGAATATTTCGTTCCACTTTTTTAACGTCACAGTTCCTGTGATATACGAGAGCATTGTTCGTGTCATATTTCAATTTAGTACCTACATTTCGGGTATCCATCTAGATTCAGCGTTGAGTCGCGCCCCACTGGCCGGGCAACAAGTTCCACTGCTGGACGCACTGACACGATCATTATTAATTGTACCATCTTCCATTCCAAGGGGCTGTCGACACAAGACCTTTGCTGAAGAGAGGAAAAATTACAAAAATAGACACAAGGTCAATATTAAACAAAACGTTCACACACGCAGTCGTGTTTTACTATAATAAAATAATGTAGTGTTGTGTAGTGAGACGTCTTTTACTAGGCACCGTACAATTGGCACACATCCCAGAAAAATGTGTACTTGCATTCAGTGCCATGAACGCGGGAATATCAGCCTTTTTTTCCTGCACACCGAAAAGTGAGTAATCGTGTGCAAAGATTTGTGCTTAAAAAACAACATTTTAGTTTCAAATGAGCGAAATTTGTAGTTTCTTTACATTCTAATGTCACAATGCAATTACTCTGCTACCTCTGGGCTAGGTGTTAGTTTATTTCATGTTGACGAAAGGAGTGATTTTGGGGTGAATTAGTCTACGTTATCTCAAAGTTTTAATCACCGTGTGTCACATGTTGATTTATTGCAATGCGACTGTTTAATGTCAGGTGCAATATGGAGGCCTAGTTCACAACACAGCCGTACACTTGCCAGGCGTTCGGGGAACCTCGGGGAACCTGATTAAAATATTAGAACTTCAAGGAACCTGGGAATCTTAGGAAACGGGGCAACTTTAGAAAGAGAAAACTTCGTTATTATAATTAAGCATTGGCAACGTTATTACTGTTTAGGGAGCTGGAAGTTGAATCTAAGTTCTATGATTCTTGTTTTGTGAGTTAGATTGAGATTCAGATCCAGAACTATTGTAATTGTTTTTGCAAAGTCATCTGTAACAAGTTCATAAGACCAAGCATAATTTGACTCCGAGTGTTTTTGATTTTGTCTGTTAGTATTGATTCGTCCTTTGGCGTCCTGAAATCTAATCATTTGAGTGGACCTCCTTAATTGCGTACCGCTACAGTAGGTTTTTGTATAACGCTCCAGCTTTAGCTACACCTGAGTGAGGAGAGGAAATTGTAGTTAAGTGTCTGGCCAAAGCGCAACGTTCCCCGCCAGGATTGGAGCCCATGTACCACAGCACATGAGTTGATGAACACCGTAACCATTGAATCAAGGGGGGGGGGGGGGGGGGGCTGGGGGTGACAACCCCTCCCTCCCCATGACACCTTGTCGGCCCCAGTCCCCCCCCCCCACTGAGATTTGGAGTTTCTAAAAACAAATCATTGATCCACATGACGCCCCCCCCCATGAAATGTTCCAGCCCCCCAGCGGCGCCCCCCCCCCGAAAAATTTCTGGCTACGCCACTGTAGCCAGGAAAACCTTTGTCACCGGAAACCCATCGTCCACCGCCCTCAGATGTATTAGAAAACAAGATCACACCGTTTACAAACCAAACAAAACAGTCATCGGGATGTCACTGTTGCATAGCCTATGATGCAGTGCTCTAATCGATAAACTCGTTTGCATGAACATCAAGAATAGTCCGTGTGCTAGGCAGGGGGAGGGAATCCCAGTGCAATCCCCTCCAGAACCAACCGCCACTGATATTTTTTGGATCCTTGGCATGTCCCCAATAGAAAAAAAAGAAGATGTTAACATTGAACATTTAGGGTTGCTTTCTCTTTTTTGGATGGGCCTCTAATTGAGCTTAGATGCATTTTCTTAGCACTAGTGCTGGAAGGGCAGACCTTGAGCAGACCTTGCCCGATCTTAATCAAACTTAAAACAGTTTATTTTTTTATGAATAGCTCTGTCCAAAAATATCTTTGGTTGTATTGTCAAAGAAACCAACTACGTCGGCGTCGTGAGGCTGGCTTGACTCACTACAAGGATGTTATTACCCACATTTGGTTGTGTAACTTAGAGGGGTTGGGGTTTGGCGAAGAGTTCTCCCGTCAATATATTAGGCCTTGTTAAAGGGCTCTCACTACTTCATTTGGCTATGTTTGAAAGAGGAAATTGTGAATTATTAATATTTTCACAAACCGATGTTTTCGGAATGGATCATAAACAAAAATAAACAGGGTCCGCCCGATAAACCGAAGTTTCGTTAGCCCGAGGATTCTTTATTTTAAAGCTCCGATACTCCAAATTCACACATTTTACATATGATGGGTGATATTAGTCCGAAAATGAAATAAGGTTTGTTATTCTGAACATTTGAGTCAATAGTCCGAAGGTTGATTAGTCCGAAGGTCCGATAGTCCGAAGGTTAAATTAATTGCCCCTAATGACGTTATATTTGCGTCCATGCACGTTTGTCATCTTATAGGTGATTGCCCGATTCCCTGTCACGTGACACTATAAAGTCACTTTTACGGTTATGAATAGGAGGCCCGCAGTTCAAGTACCTTGAACGAACAAGAAGAAAAAAATATTTCTTGTCGAAATCAATACAACACATCTTGTGTCTGCAATCACGGCTTTTCCTATTCATTGGCCGGGGCAAAGTATTAACTGTGTATAGTTTTTTTGTCACAACATAGACAATGGAAGGAAGGAACCAACAACTCCGCCCGGAATAAATAGAAATATCCTACAGGGTTTAAACAATGATAGTTTCGTTTGCACCTGTTTGTTTACGGTATTTGAACAGTGCTGCATTTCGTTCAGGTATTGATTAACCTTCTACGAAGATATTGTGATATATATGTAAAACATAAATCAACCAAAAACAAGCTTGTAAAGTAAAATGCACCATTAAACATATAAACACTTTGGAATATACCTTTCAAAAATCTACAAATAATAAAATGCGTATTTACCAATGACAGTTTTGATATCTTACACTGGTACTTTGGCTCGATAGATACATAATCAAGACACTTATGCAATACGCACAGCACGCAGCATCCACCCCGCCAAAAAAACTCTTGCATTAGGCAAGAACTCAAATTCATCGAAAATCGTATATTTTAAGGTCAATTTTTATTTGAAAACGCAGTTATACGGAAAACTTAGTTTCATTTTATTGATAAACGGGCCATAACTACATGTCTTTGAAATACTGCAGGGATGAGTTATGCCACACGATGCAAAGTGTCAATCACAACGAAAATGCCCACTACCGTCTCCTGTCGCACAACAATACGCGGGTGATGTATTTTGCGGACTTTACAATTGTACAAATCATATCATAATTTATTTCATTGCAATACCTTATATGAACAAGGGACCACAAAACATCACCAATACTCGTCAGAAAGGGGAATTTTGGGTAGTTTGTTTATGTCATGGTAAAGCTGAACCAAGCATGATAAAGACATGTTTTCAATATAATGAAGTTTCCCATACAACTTAAAGATGACATGACCTTGACCTAATTGTTATCAAATCAAAATTGACCTTTAGACTACGAGTTCTTGCCTGAATGCTAATGGAGATGAGATTAAATTTACAGCATCATGTTTCACTTCTTGATTTCATAGCAGCATTGGACACTATCCGCTCATTGTATTGAAGCGAAACAAGATTGGAAAAGCAATCAGAAAAACTCAAGATATTTCAAGATTTCAAGAGGACTCAAAGTCAGGGAAACCCAAGATGATTCAGGTAGATATCAGAAAATTAACATGTCAAGCTTTGAAACTTTTGAGTTTTCAAAAGTTCAAGAAATCATCAGCAATAAACTCAAGAAATATCAAAATTTTCTTTCAAGATTTCAAGAAGACTGAGAGTTGGGAAAAAACCAAGATGTTTCAGGTAGATATCAGAAAATTAAAATGTCAAGCTTTTAAGATCTGCAGCTTTCAAGATATCAAAAATCATCAAAAACACTCGGGACGTTTTAAGATGTTAAGAAAGGTCTCAGCGACAAGATGATTGAGGTACATATCAGAAAATGAAAATTTCAAGCTTTCATTTTATGCAGCTTTGAAAATTTCATGAAATAATCAAGATATTGCTAGATTACAAGATTACTCATAGTCAGGGAAACCCAAGATGGTTCAGGTAGATATCAGGACATTAAAAGGTCAAGCTTTCAAGACTTTCAGCTTATAAGAAATCATCAGTAGTAAGGCTGTTGAGTACTGCGATTGTGCACTTTGTGACTAAAGCATGAAACTTTGCACGTTGGTTCTTCATGCCATAAAGAAAACTGTAAGATGTAGAGACATTTCATATTTGACCTCTGGTGACCTTTGCGAGGTCAATGACCTTTACATACACTATTTATGACAATTGTTCTTGAAAACTCCACTTTCCTATGACTCAAGTCTATGTCATAGGCTTGAGGCCATGAAAATAAAGATCAGATGTAAAAGTAAAAACAATTACTTGACCTTTAGTGACCTTCCAGAGGTCAATGACCTTTGTATACAAAGTTATTGTCATCATGATCTACTCTTTAAACCCCAACTTTTTCAAGAACGAGTCTTAATGTTCGATGTTCATGCTGTTTTTTTTTCCATATGTAGGGCATTTCATATCTGACTTCTGGTGACCTTCAAGATGTCAATAAACTTTGTATGCCCTATTTATGAATATTTATGAGATTTATTATTCAAAACTCAACTATTTCATGACCTAGGTCTAAAAGTTGGCTCTTTGTGACATAAAAAGAATTTTCAGACATGGGGACATCGTATCTGACTTTGGTACCCTTTAATATGTCAATGAACTTTATATACATTATTTGTCGCTATTTTTCATATTTATTCGTCAACACAATTGTTTTGTGACCCAAGCCTAAATATTGCAAATGAAATAGGAATTGCACCTTTTATTATACAATCATGGAATGAATTCATATCACCCCAAAATTGGGGTGACATCTGATCTCCATTTCCCTAACATGTTGCCACTGAGATAGAAAACTGTTGCATTTTCTTTACAATGTAATATATACAAATGTCTATCAATAGTCACTCTTGTGTACTTATTTCACTCTATATGGTATCTAGATGGATGGACCCGTGGTCCGATTTTTATGTTTTTGATATCAAAAGATGCGCAAAGCTCGAGGCTAAAAAGTCATAACAGCTCGGGTTGCGAAAAAAAAATTTTTAAGAGGCTATCACGGAAAAATGTTGAGGGGGGGGGCGGGCGGATTCCGCCCCCCCCCCCGGCCCCTTTAGGGTTAAGGTCGCCAGGGGTCAAATATGAATGTTCACACAACTGAAAATTCTGTGATGTCACGAAGAGCTAACGTTTTGACCTGGGTGGTAAAACAGCTGGGTTTTAAATAGTGAATATTTTAAATATCTATAAATAGGGCATAAGAAGTTCATTGACCTCTTGAAGGTCACCAGAGGTCAGATATGAAGTGTCCCCCATATGAAAATGCTTTCATAGCATGAACACCTAACATTTAGAGTTGGGATTCAAAGTTTTAATATTATAAATAACAATAAATACTGTATATATAGGTCAATGACCTCTGAAATGTTAGCGGATTTTTTTTTTAATCTGATCATTATTTCCAGTGCCCGAAGACCTATAAGATAGACTGAGGTAATTGGACACTGGTGTTTTCAAGAGTAATTATTATAAATAGTGTATGTAAAGGTCATTGACCTGTCAAAGGTCACCAGAGGTCAAATATAAAATGTCTCCACATCTGAATTGTTTTCTTCATGGCATGAAGAACCAACATGCGAAGTTTCTTGCTTTAGTCACAAAGTGCACAATTGTATCACATATTTGATTTTAACAGACTCACTACAGGATTACTTAATAAGATGACCAAAAGACTCGGGAGAGCTCAAGACTTCAAGAGGACTCAGCAAGACTCAAGGCAATTCAAGAGGACTCCTAGTTAGGGAAACCCAGGATGATTTAGGTGGATATTGGGAAATTAGAATTTCAAGCTTTCAACATGTTCAGCTTTCAAGATATCAAGAAATCGACAGGAATACTCGCGAGGTTTCAAGATTTCAAGAGGACCAAAGTAGACTCGGGAAAGCTCAAGATATCAAGTGGACTCAGTCAATTTCAAGAGGAACTCATTTTTAGGAAAACCCAAGATGATTCAAGTGGATATCAGGACCCTATTTCAAGATTATATATTGTGCAGCTTTCAAGATTTCAAGACGACTCAGCAAGACTCAAGAAATTTTAGGAGGACTGGGGGGGGGGGACTCAAAAAATTTCAAGATTTTTCAAGATTTCAAGAAGACTGAGAGTAAAAAAAAAACAAGATTTTTCTAGTAGATATTAGAATATCAAAAATTCAAGCTTTAAATGTTTGCAACTTTCAAGATTTCAAGAGGGTTTCAATTGCAAGAAGAACAAAGCAGACTTGTGAGAGCTCACGATTTTAATGAGAATCAGGCAGATCATTTAGATTTCAAAATCTGAGCTGAATATAAAAGAATCACGGAATTTAGGACCCAGAGGACTAAGGTATATTCTGAGCTGATCAGGAAATGCACGTGGATACCCATAAGATATGAAATTTATAAGATTTGAAGAAATCATCAGAACTTTACGAGATGTTCTACGATTTCAAGAGGTCTCAAACAGACCAAGTTAATGTCAAATTAGGAATGCTAAAGTTTTCACGAGCACTCAGGAAGACCCAGTAGATTTGAAAAAAAAAAAAATCAAGAGGAATAAAGCAGACTCTAGAAAGCTCAAATGTCAAGAGAACCCAACAAGAATCAAGACATTTCATGAGGACTCATAGTTAGGGAAACCCATGATGATTCAGGTAGATATCAGGACATTAAAATGTCAAGCTTCAAAATTTTCAGCTTTCAAGATATCAAGAAATTATCAGAAATACTTAGGAGATTTCACGATTTCAAGAGGACTGAGGCAGACTTGAAGGAGCTCAAGATTTCAAGAGGACTTGGGAAGACACAGTAGATTTGTGAATTTCAGAGGAGCGAAGAATAATCTGAAAGTTTCAAGACTTCAAGAAAAATCGGGTATATTCTAAGATATTCAGGAAATTCAAGTTAATACATATAAGATATCAAATTTGAAAGATTTCAAAATTTCAAGAAATCAACAGGACTACACAGGATTTCTTCAATATTTTATGAGGACTTATAAATTTAAGATCCAAGAAGACCCAGAATATTTGAAGATTGAAGGGGATTTAAAAAGACCCCAGAAAATTGCAAGATTACAATAAAGCTAAGATTACTTCAGGAAACCTAAAGATAGTTCCCGAAGATTCCAGAATATAAAATTGATAAGAACTCAAGATTTCAAGATAAGCAGATTTTAAGATAAGCAGATTTAAGACAAGCATATTTCAAGTCGTTTAGATTTCAAGATACATGGAAGTTGTAAATTATTAGTAGTAATACTCAGCAAGTTTCAAGATTTCCAGCAGACTTAAATACTCTGGAATAGTTCACAATTTCAATTGAACTCGGGAAGACTCACAAAATTTCCTGGACCTGAGGAAAACTCGTGAATTTTCAAGAGGACTGAGAGGGAGGGAGAGTCGAGAAATGTTAGGTATATTTCATGATTTCACAAAAATTCAAGACTTGCAGATTTGAAGATTCCAATATATAATCCGGAAAACTTAGGAGTTCCAAGATTTCAATTGGACCCAAGAAGCCTTGGAGAAGTCAAGATTTCAAATGGACTCGAGAAATATCAAGATTTCAAAAGGACTTTGAAAGACTCAAGGAAAATGAATATGATTCAGGTAGATATTAAAGATACAATTGACAAGATTTCAGGATTTCACGCTATATATAATTCAAGATTTCAAGATGTAAGGAATATTCAGGAAGTTCCAGGATTCCCGAGCGGATGAGGAAGATAAATAAGTGCAATAGGACTCCTAAGTACTTAGACAATATAAAACAAAAATAGAGCAGGTAAATCAAAGTTATCAAATTGACAAGAAATCATCATTTTAGCATTTCAAAATGTGAACATTTTAAAACTGTAATATCAAATTAAAGTTTTGGGAAGACTGAAATACCAAGGAAGCTTGGAAACTTTCAAGATTTCAAAAACACTCGGGAAGACTAGGAAGATTCAAGGATAAAAAAAATGGCTGCCCGACTAGGCTTTTTTTTACGATGGCCACCATTTGTTTTTTTAATGACCACCACTTGGAGTCCCGAAATGACATACCAGCTTGATATGGGCCGCATGCAACAGACAAAGAAGCCAACATCATGTCACGGTTTAAAATTAATCATTTTTGGGATTAAAGAAAAAAATAAAAGAGGGGGGCTTCCAAAAAGGAAGCGGGCAGTTACACTAAACCTTTTTTTTAATTTGTATTTGGCCCTAGAAACAGAATCATTCAAATCAATCATGTAATTTTCAAGTTACGGAATACACAACCAATGTCCACCGGTCACAAAAAGGGGGGTCTACCCTATGTTTCCCAATCCTTAAAGATAAAGTTTGTGCAATATCGTGTTTCAACATTTTGACTCAAAAAATAACTCGGAAACATTTTTTGGGGGTTGAAAAAAATGACATCAGGTAGATTTGGATTTAATATTGATTCGTTAATAATCCCTAAAATTGACAAAGAATGTATCAATATTGCATAAGGCATTCACCTTGTGTAAGCACATGCATGTTCCTATGTTCGAACCGATGGTATTGGAGATCTTAAGATGACTTACCAGTTGGTGTGGGTTCCCTCAATCCTGGGCATCGGTCCCGTATCTCTTGCATGACTTGTTTCATCCACTGGTCCGGATTTTCAGGATCAGGTTCCGGTGGGGGACCGAAGTAACACACCCTGGCCTTAACACAGCCGCTTTCCACACCACTCAAGAGAACTTAGGATAAAAAAAATGTGATTCATTGATTTCAACAATTATCACTTTTGTTTTCATCTAATTCCTTCAAAGTTTAACTTTTATAATTTTCTTCAGTAAAGCCATTCGACAAATACCACGCAGTTTAATTGTGACATTTCAACGACCGTTCATTCAAACAAATGTTTGAAACACCGTTCGAGCTGATCTTCTTGAACTGCGTGTCGTTTTCAAAAGTGACTGAATACATGAGGGAAACTTTAAAAAAACTTAAATTGTTTCCATATGTTTGCAAGTTTTAAAGCGAATTGTTATTCCTATTAAGAACACCAGTTACATTTAAATATGGTATACACTACACAAACATTAGTGGTCATACAAAATAATTGCCAGGAAGCCGAAGAAAGGCAAACACAAATCTTCAACGCTCTAATTAGGAAAATGGAGTCAGGTTGAAAATGCTCTGTTTGATGCTTTGCGACTTGCCTAAAGCCTGCAGATTCTTTAAAAAAATTCACGATCTCACGTAACAGGATTCAGTAAGATTTGTAAACTCAAGCTCACCTATCATTGCTGACACCATCAGAATACAAGTTATTGTTTTGTCCATTCTCCCAGATGCAATGATCAATAATCCGTAAGGTTAGTTGTATATCAACGAGTGCAGGAACCACACGTTCGCTCCAGCTGCCTGCTGTACCAAACCATTCTAAGGGCTAACGTCAGATAAGAGAGCAAGCTTTTGGCGAGGATCAAAGGCTTTTCGGATTGGTTTTTAGTGACTCACTGGGAGGGACCTTTTGCGATAGCGTGTAAATGGTAGTCAATACCAAAGGTCTCTTCTGGCTATTACTGGGCTGTGATCTTACGAAACGGTGTTTCTAAATTAAACGATAACCTTTACCGAATCCATACGGTGCGGCAATGCGTGCAATCACTTGTTCGCCGTGTTCTCAAGGATGAAACCGTTAAAAATGAGGTCAATAGTAAGCCTTTGACAAATTCACGCAATTTCCTGTTTCTAATGAATGCAGATATTGAAAATTAATTAAAGTTAGGTGCTTATAAGCACGCGATAAGGGCACAAGGTGGTGTGGATAAGATGTTACTGCTTCGTAATTTTGAACAATCACCTTCGACACGACACAGTCGTCAGAAATCGATATGATACGGGGCTACACCGTACTCACAGTGGATGGTTCTTCCTGTAATAACCACACAACTATTCAAGCAAAGAAGCGTGGGCGAGATATGAACGCGTTTCACACACGGCCATCCATGTGCAAAACACTCCTCGTATGGAAATTAATTTTGACGGGAAGCTGCCGTAATTTTTAAAAATTCGGTTAAAGGGTTTTCAATTACAGGCTAAGTTAAACTAATTGGATAATACCTTTACTGTAATGACATAAAGGACAGCATAAAATACAAGGACTGTTGGTTACAAAATAAATAATTGCTGTAATAATGTATACACTATAGTTCATATCGGAGATCTCGAACCACCACGACACCCTTTTTGACCTCGTCATCTACAAAGGCCAACGTTTCTAAGAAATGGGCAACTAAGTTGATACTCATGTCGCCGCTAAAACAACTAACAAATGCACGTTTCAGTATATTGCTCAAGATTCAGCCGCTCCCCTATCAGCAACTGGCAGTTTGACTAAGGGAGGAGTAGCTAGACCTGACTGTATATAATTATAACCACACACTCAACTGATTTTGAGGTGAAGGTTGAATTAATCAGAGGCAAATAAAAATACCTCTCAACGTATCAAAACCGATCAGAACATCCAATTAATTGTTTTCTTTCTAACTTTCTACCCACAAATAAAATAAACCACCAGCTCTCAAACGGGCCCTTTTACAAACAAAATGGCATTTGATCAGTGATAACGAATATCTTACTGCACTTTTTGAGACCCTACAAAGTTTAAAATGTAAACCATGTAAGGACGACCTAATTCGGTTGAGAGTTGTAATACACCAGTAGTAAGTGAGGAGTAACTAAGGCCCCGTTGAGGATTAAGTTGTGGATCTTGTGATTCGAAGTATTTTGTGGAGTGTGTGGAGCGGGCGGGTTCAAAATGTTGCAGGGGGAGGGCAGCGGAATGGGGCAGTGAAGTAAAGAGGTAGGACGTCGCGTGGTGGCGTCATGAAGTGAGTGAAATGGGCAAGACTTGCGCACGCGCAGAATATGCTATTTATAGCTAGAGATTGATTTGGAGCATGTCCAAAGTATTCATGTAATACAGTACCAAACAAGATGTGTTGCGTAGATTCAGTTCCACGGTTTCCTAATCTACAAACCTACCTCTTTTAAGTGTGTTTCAGAATTATCCACGTCAACATTTTCAGATTGAATAGTTTCAATTTCAAGATCATCGTCAACTTCATTCATTTTAGATTCCTCTTCAGCATGTACACTTTGTGAATGCTGCTGTTTGTTATATCTCCGTCCAAAGCTTTGGTTACACTGGTGGCAAGCATGGAGTTTGACTACAGGAAAAACATTCATGCTGAATCTTTTAATATGTAACTACTCATTTTACGCTTACCTTTAGTCTTTGTGCTCAATTGTACATTCACTGCTCATTTTCATGCTCTACATGCTCCTGGGTTTGGTCTCAGTGCGTGTGTCACCCATTATGCTGCTTATTTGTACATTGCTGTTGATGCTTTTTTTAGGTAGATAATTTTGCTAATTTCGCTGCTCATTCGCAACATGACACTTCACTCCAGACTATAGTCAATGGGACTGGACCCCAAAATTCACCCACTGGTACCACCCGATGTAGCACAATCTAGATGCTCTTTTGAAATGTTTTATCTGTAGTTTATATGTTGTCATGATATCATTTGCAAGGTAGCAGCTTATTATTATTATCTACTCCTCAATGATCGGAACGAAGCATGCAGCAATTTTGCATCAAATATTTGCTATCAGTATTGTGAAATTGCCTCGTTCATGTAGTGTGAGGTGTGGATTAGAACAGAATGAATGGTTACCGAGATGACAGTGGTATGAGCCTGCCTTCAGACACAATTGCCGATTAACTCTGCTCTATGGCAAAACTGTTCAGACCGGTGCACGCAATCAATAAGAAACGGTATAATAAAGGTTATGTGCACATTTTTGCACTTCATTATCAAAGGAAGCAATATCTTACTGATGTCCACCTCTCCATACGCAGAATGCATCCTTAATGAAGCGATGCATCGAGGAGATTGGGAAAAAAAACGATGCGGTAATAATTGCTTATATATTTATATCGCCTGTAATTTTAAAGTTCAAATTCGAAAACTGGAAGGCCCGATCGCTTTGTAATCTTTATTTGTCCTTCCATTGATCTCGAAAAAATTCGTAGAGCTAGATGTCAGGGTGATTTGTAGAGAGTGCCCTTTACAGTAAATATTTAATTTATTTTATTTATTTTATTTTAAATCTTTAGACAGTTCATAAGTACAATCTAAAATGTATCAACACGTACTGAAAAGAAGTAGGCGACCAAAACTGGTGATGGGCTGGTAACAGGTTTTGTTATTGACTCCGGTAATGGGTATTGTGGCACTTGTAGGAATAGATGTGTGTGCTGTGCGGTGTGCTAGGAGTATGTATGTGTGTGGTTCTAAAGGGAAGAATAAATACAAAGGGGAACTGTATTACTATGTGCACAGGCCTGGAAAACCCGAATCATATAATAAACATCTACAATATACATGTAAACACATGTGTGCCCATAATTAGGCTGGCAATAACATGTATATGTACATAACATGTCTAACATGACCACAAATATGGAGGAAAATGACCCAAAATACTTATTAAGAACCCCAAACATTGGTATAATAGCACACAATTTCATGGAAAGACCCTAAATACTATGAAACCCTCAATATTCACAGTAAAGTGCCCACAAACATGTGTATAAACACGCGTATGGCATGACATGTAAATCCCATACGTGTTAGTACAGCGTAAAATGCAAACCAAAATAGACAATAAACATGAAGTAAATCCCCCCAAATATATTATCTTATTCAACCCAAATGGTACTCACTTTCTGTAATTCACGCACGGGGGTATTTATAGTGAACCTGTTAATTGGATAATTAAGGTTAATGATGATCAGGAGTCAGAAACAGGAATTTTACGGAGCAAGAATTAACGGTAAACAACGTGATTCGATAAGGATTGGATGATCATAATAGTAAATCACAAGAGGACGCTGTTGTGCGCTCAGGCGACAGAGACGCTTTCGCACAGTACCTACTAGAGAAGCTGGTTTACGTACGTGTTGGACTGTATACTCGTTGATAGAACGTGCGATCAACCTAACCAATTTCTGTTCAGTGCAACCTGGAGGAAGGACACCGCAATACTTGTGGTTTGATGGTATCGTCATAAGCAGGTGAGCTGAGCGTTAACTTCTAACAACAATAGTACCTCTGATGGAAACCGCGAGCAACAGAACTAGTCTTCACAGCTTATCGTATGGGTAAATGCACACACTATTGCCACAATTGCAACCAACGGGTTTGCGATGTGCGTACCGGTAGACTAGTTACCAATGGTTACTCCGGTTAGTGCACTTTACAGTTTGGACGACTAACTTATGTTTTCCCGGCAATTTTGAAATGTTTATCAATCAAATTATTTGATTATAATATTCGAAGTTGTCCAGCAAAATGTATTTAGTGCACTTCCAATGTTTAATCAAAACGGAGCCACATGTACAGCATGTGAGTGGTTTTGTTTTTTAACGACATCGTAGCTCCTTGCGTTAAGGGGGGAATATTCTGTGCCTGAATGGATTAATAGTCATTTTTTTTATACTTTCATTTCAATATTTCCTTAATCTGTATTGAAATGCCTTTTTCGCCTTTAATGTTGTGCGGCGTGGTGTTGCCATTTCTGTACATGTTGCCATTTCTGTACATGTTGTGCGGCGTGGTGTTGCCATTTCCGTTTTGAATAAATGTCTAAATGTCTAACATGTTATGGCTATTCATGGTGTCACATTGATAGTGCAACTTGGTCTGGTGTGTCCTATGGCTGTTTATGGTGTCACATTGATAGTGCAACTGGCTCTGCCATGTTTGTCGTGCACTAATTATCATGGTCTGGTGTGACATATATGGTGGGCCTGGTATGCTCTTTTCATAGCAGCGGCTGGTGAACAGGGGTGGGGGGCGTCTGTGTGTATGCTTAATTTCTAGAGTAAAAATAAACTGCAAACTAAGCCTAAATGTGGATATCAAAATTTGACAAAGTTCAAAATGCTTGTGTACATGGTGGAAGTGTGGCCCTTATTTACGGAGGTAGTCCAGTAAATTGGCCACATTTATCGGGCTAATAAGGTAAATGTAAGGTAAATGGGGACGAACCTGTGTTCACACGAACGGAGTGCCTATCTCTCTTTCGAAGCGATTGGGTCAGACTTGAGTTCATGAAATGCTGCTGTGGGGGATCGCCACACCTCTTCCACAGCGAGCCTGTTACCTTCCCTGCACTGAATACTGCCGGTACCCATTTAACACTTGGGTTGAGAGGAGTAATAGAGGTAAAGCGCCTTACTCAAGGGCACAACACACATGGCCACGGCGGGGCTCGAACCCACAATTTCACGATCATGAATCATGTGCCCCTGCCGCTAGAACACACGTGCCCACATGCATTAAACGAATTCCTTAATTGACTGCTAATTCTAGAGGCAATCAGTCCAATCGGCAAATCCGAATGATGACCATCTTTGTATTTCTGACGACTCGTAGGAACTTTCAGGACCTGTCTACGATAAATTATTGGAAGAGGTGCATCTGCTGGTCGAAAATTATGCAGGCAGGCTTTGTATGTGCAAGGCCGGCAATTGAACACAGATCCCTGCAAAGTGCTCATTATTTATTCTCCACAACTTTTCCATTAATTTGAACTATCTACACTCCACGAATAGTAGGCGGCTTTGGTTTGAGGTAAAACATATTGCTTTGACATGGTTGTGCTATTTTGCTGATTATGAGCTCTTGAGATTGTTGACGAGTTCTCATAAAACTTGGTTCTAGCTTATGTTATAAATGTATACACCAAGTTGCGCAACAAACTCACCAAATCACCCTGATTGAATGTAACGTGAACAATTGAATTGAAGTATGTTCATAATGCTGTACGCATTGATGGCCGTGCTTTTAAAGCTTTCATATATCTGCCGCGCTTCATTGCTTGTAGAGTTTCTGTGGTTATGAAAGGAATGTCGCTTGGCACTTAGCCCATATTTCGGTCGAATTTTTAATATTTGCAGCATCAATTAAGAATATCGCTTGAATTTTTAGAAGCGTCATTTTGGTAGTAGCATTTTCATTCTCCAGGCCACAAGGAACAAGCGATTACAGGCAGTGCCGCATCGTATTACAAAGCCAGTTTAACCTGCAAAAAATCATGGCTTAAGAGTTTAAGAAAATGTACTTGGGGATAAGCGTGTGTAGATATTAATTGCAATTACAGATCAATTCGTGTTTCTTTAATTATTATATTGCCATTTCATATTTAATTCTTTGCATATACACCGACATTACAGGGGCGACGTTTTAATATCTCCAATTAATTATTTGTATGTTTGCAATAAAGGTAACTAGCTAAAGATCGTTTTCTAAGGATGCGTTGGACGTTTCTTGATCGTGACCAAACCTTGGTTGCTGCTAGGAATTCTACGGGCTTATCACAGGTGCAGCTTCCGTTCGCACACGGTGCTGCTCTGTTTCATATCAAATCGTGACTACTTACAGTGTCAGTGAATTGAAATGTTCCAAAACAGACCACCATTATTGCAGGGAAGTCCTCATTGGCTGTCATGTAAGTGATTGTTTCCAGGGATGAGCTCCGCCCTTGATGTGAGCTTGAAGTAATCTGAAGATGTAAGACCCTCGTGCGTGCGATAGTCTGCGGTTGGGTTGTTTCTGAGGAGGCCTAATGTTGTTTGTAAACACGGCGATATGGAATCAACCTAACGTTTTCTTGATCTTTCTTCAATCAGAGAGTTTTGATCTTGAACTTGTTGACATCAGGCTGATACAGGTGCGTAGCTGCTTAATGCGGATCGGCGTGGTATGCGAGTCTCTAAAGAAACAACCGGCCAGAGAGTTTCTTGCTCATCGGTCACGTCATGCGGCAAAATGGACGGAGCAGCAACTTTGGTTTTGATGCTGTCAGCATTGGCAGGTAGGCTTAAATTCCAAATCTTTCTGCATCTCTTTAATTTGTACGGTAAACTGGCTATAGACCGGACTAAACACAAATTGACAAGTCACCACAGAAAATATCTTTCAATCAATAACAACCATTCGGTACAGTAAACAAATATATATCTGAATCTGGCAGGCCGCTGAACAAACGTGCACGCTATAATCATTTACATGTTCGTATTTAATTGTAAGCATGGGTAGTTGACGAACACATGTGATAGTTATTTTACACGGAAGTGTTTATTTAAGGGGACGTCACTTTTAGTGGTAAATGCTACAACACCAAATGCGGATCTAGAAGGGGCGTTGGTAGATGTGGCCCACCATTCCTCCTCCAAATGCGACTTACCAACGCTTTATTGTGTTTTCGAAAAACAAAATCAAACTTTCCCAAAGTTAATTCGAATACAGTTCATTGTTTTACTGAAAGTCTTGATTCGTCAGTGCGTCATGAACCCTTAAGAAATATTTCTTCCAAACTCTGACCGTTTCCCATCGGAAAAGTCTGGATAATCCACTTCAGCACCTCCCACCGCATGTGCAGGATGACGTGTGACAGCGTGAATCACTGCAAAGTTCAGTTTCAATATTTAACAAAGCAATCATCACGATAATTTTTTAGTGATCATTATTTTTTTTTTTATTAAACCAAAGTGATCGTCATTGGAGTGGAGAGCCAGGTGAGGGTGTGTTACTTCGGCCCCCTACCGGAACCTGATCCTGATTATCCGGATGACTGGGTAAAACCAGTCATGAGAGAGATACGGAAGCGTTGCCCCGGAAGGAGGAAATCTACCTCAGTTGGTAAGTCATCTTACGATCTACCATCTTTGTTCATTAAAAGGCATGGGGACATCTCGTCGTATCATAAAAATAAATGGAATTGAATTGGCTTGATTGTCTTCTATCTTCAAATTATTAAGAAAGACATACACGACTGTAAGCAGGGGAAAAAAAGGTGA